AGTGCAAAGCATAAACTCCGTTTCTGACAGGTATAAGACATTGAAGAGAAGAAAATGAAGAATTGAAGAATTGAAGAATTGATAATATCAAAAGGGAGATCTCTGGAGGTGGTTGTTCGGAAAGCGTAGAGTGGCGTGGATCTCGGTGATGGCATATTTACGAATCAGAGAAAAGAAAGAAGGAAGTGCGGGGGTGGTGGACAGAGATAGGAGGCACAAGTTAACGGGTGAGAGGCTCAAGATTAATGTCTTGTCGACCTCGACCTCGACCTTGTAGTGGGGGGCTTCGATCTCTTCGATCTGGCTGGAGCTGAACTACCTAAAAAACAGAAACAAACAGCGAAGTTAGCAAAAGAAAAGAAAAAAATTCATTTGATCAACAACATCTCCAAGTGCATAAGCAGAAGGGGGAACGGAGATGATTTTTCACTCACTGCTACTGCTGCTACTACTATAATCATAGTAGTAATACGAATCAGAATACCCCGAGCTGGGCGGCGCCTGCTGATTCTTGCGCCGCAACCCTAGACAAATCGCCAGCGTTCCAAGAACCAGGCCCACGCTCGTCCACTTCCCCATCCCAAACAGGCCGGACCGTTTCGATTTCTCAGACAAGTAATACGAGTACGAATCCGAGTGCCGCGCAGGAGGCGGGCGGGACGGTCGGTGCCCAAACCAAGTACGGCCGGGCCGCCCGCCGCTGCCCTCGGAGAACGACTGTGTGGTGCCGGAGCCGCTCCCTCTCCTTCCGCCGCATCCTAGCAGCGCCAGGATTCCCTCGATGGCGCCCTTGGCACAGGCGGACAGACAGAGGACGAGTAAGAGCATAATGCCCACGAGGACACCGATGACGATGCCTGCGATGGCGCCACCGCTGAGTCCACCGCCACCCTTCGAGGCTTCTGGTGGGGGTAGCAGGACGCCGTCTGTGCCGACTGGAGGGAGGAAAGGGACGGTCGCAGTGGGAGCGGTGGTGATGGTTGCGCCGCCGGAACTCGTTGGTCTGGAGGGAGGGGTCGGCGATGGCCCGACCGAGGGCTCGAAGGGGGAGCTTCCGGCCTCGACACATTGGCCTTCATATTTGCACGCCTGCGCGGCGGTGCAGCAGATGGTGCCGCAGGCGGATTCGCCGAGGTTAAGTTGGCATTGGATCTGGCTGCGAGAGGTTGGGGCCGAGATCAATCTGCTGCCCACCGAGGTCACTGTGACCAGGTCCGTTCGGACGAAGGTTGTCGTGAATGTCTCCCATTGACCTTCGGCCGCGCGGGGCCTTTCCACGAAGCTGGAGTCGACGCAGATGGCTTGGTTGTTGTCGTTTGTGGTGCAGGTTTGCATTGCGGTGCAGCATTCTTGCCCGTAGAAGCCACAGGGCGTGCAATCGCGGGTAGCGAGGCCGGTGTTGAAATGTACAGGGAATGGAAATGCGTGTGTCGATAATGAACGTAATTGCGAGAGGATAGATAGGATGGCCAAGGCCGTTGGAGATATCCCGAGGCGTCGCATTGCTGCTGGAGGGTTGCATCCACTTCAAGCAGATAAGCGCAAGAGTTGGCTGAGGATTTGGTGTCTCTCACCAAGCACTGTACGAGTACAGCTTGGACGTAGAGAACCAGCAACCCAACTGGAGCTTCCTGAGCTACAATTTCGGATACAAACTGCTGTAGGAAGGCCTCGTAGGTCAATAACCGCTGAGGTTGTGGGGTGTGTTATCGATAACTGGCTACCGAGCTTAGCTTCCTCAATGCTGTGATGCGCTTCTTGGAGTCTGGACAACACCAGACAGTTCGAATCGAATGGAATGATGGAAGCAGAAAGATGTAAAAAGAAAGAGAAGAGAGAAGAGACGGAGAAAAATAAAACCAGGAAAACTCTTCGAGGAACAGGACCTGAAAAGCGAGGTGGGCTCTCCGCTGTCTGGTGCTGTATGCGGCCCAGCCCTTGATTTTCGCTCCCAGCCACCATCACCAACTAGTAGTGTACCCAACCACCCGCTTTCCCCACCAACAAGTGGCCCTGGTATCCGTAAGTATTCGTGTATTGTTCTTAACTTGAATTGTCGCAATAATCAGCATAAAAACATAGAAAAATTAGGGTCTGATGATTAAAAGGGGAACACGACGATTGAGGAATCAACTGTTCGGCCTATGCGCTGTCCTCTGCGGGGCATTGAAGCAATGAAATCAATCATCGATTCCTCTTGAGCTCTTGATGATGCACGCCGACTTGGCAAGACAGACAGCAGGGCAGAGCCTGGGACAGGAAATATGGCGGCAGGGAACCTGTCAAGACTGTTAAGCTGTGCCCCACACACAGGGAGAAGCCAGTGTCTCCGTGTTTCTCTCCGTGTTTCTCCCCTCGTGTCTCTCCCTCCTCGAGTTGCAGCTGTCAGCCGTTGTTTGATATGGAAATCGTTCAGTTCGCTGGAATCTTTCAACGGGCCGCAGAGTTACCACACGATGCGAAGGGTTAATGCGCTGACTCATCTGTTTATTTACTCTTGGGGAAAAGATTTCTTGGTACAACTAGATCATATACTACTCATATACAAGGAAGGTCATTCATGATTCCCATCATTGAGAAGAGAGAGACGAAAAGAAAAACGAAACGAAAAGAAGCGCCAAAAGCCGCTTTTGTCAAACCAGCTGTCAACCCAAAATGGAAAAAAGCAGATGCAACAGCAACAAACCTAAAAAACATTATATAAAGTAAACCCATAATAACTATAGAAAGAAGAAAAACAATTTGCGAAAAAACAAAAGGAAAAGAAAAAGAAAAAAGAAAGAAAAATTACAGCAGGACAAATTTAAACAACCATCCCGGCAACCGCAACCACAACCCCAGCTACAATATCATACACCAACCCCTTCCCCCTCGCCGCAACAACCCCTCCCGATCCTATCCCATCCCTAAACGCCGTACAATACCCCACCTGCAACCCGTGACACGCCGCCGTGCTCAGACTCGAGCACACAGATTGCGGATTGCCCACCGTCGGCTGCACGCCGGGCACCGTGATGCCGCGCGGGCCCCCGACCGTGACGCCGTTCACGCCGCCCAGCGACGCCGTGCAGCTGGAGAATTGCGCCTGGCAGCCTGAGTAGGCGGAGACGCAGGCCTCTTGGTTCGGGAAGGTGGTGGGGATGATCGTGAAGGGGAACGGGGCGTTGGGGACCGTTGGCGCCGCTGGGCTCGTGGGGCCTGTTGGCGGCGTGGTGGTTGCGGTGCCTGGTTGTGGGAACATGAAGTTTGAGGAGGCGGAGGTCTGAGAGGGGCCTACTAGGTTTTGTTAAATAGAGTCTTTTCTCTCTCTTTTTTTTCTTTTCGAAGAAAAATATTCACATGTTTATGTGTAGAGATACTCTACGTGAAAGGTGGGTTGAGGGGAATACACTAAGTGTACACACCTGATAAATGACCCGTACACGCCGCCCCGCTGGGACAGCAGGCCATGTTATTTGCATCGTCGCGCGAGCAGACCGTGTCCCGTTGGCAACATGCCTCCGCGGCCCCGAGGAGCGCACAGCTATTAAACCCCGCCGGACAACTTCCCTGTCGTTTCACCAGTCCTATGGAATCCCCTTGGACATTGCGCCAGTCGAAAAGAGGTTGGCTGAAACGGGAGGTATCTGTATACACATTCTTGGCGTAGATTGTGGCAGATAGCAGCAGCGGGAGGAGTGGAGGCGATTTCAGTCGCATTTTCTACTTCTTCTTCGTCGTCGTCGTCGTCGTCGTCTCGGGGATGTATGGCGGGCGAAGACCCCGCGGGGGGGGGGGGGGGGGGAATTTTATTATATATATTTTTTTGTGGGGGGGATAGGTTATTCATGGGTTTGCGAAAGATTTGGTATCCATGACTGGGATTATATGGGGGGTCAGTTTTTTTCAGGAGCTCCCAAAAACATATTTCGCGATCCCCCACTTTGGGTGGGAATAACCCTGGGCGGAATCCCTGTGACATTTTTATGAAAGGGTCCAAATGGTGTGATGTACCTCCTCCACAGAAAGAAAAGTTGGGATACCCCGGGAGGTCTTCCCAGATGTGATGTGATTGGTTCTCCCCCGACAAGCGCCAGCTCCGCGGAGAAGTGACTATTGTTATTATACAGATATTATATCACCTATTCTCCCGAAAGCGTAGAAAGCCGTGGTGGGCTAAAGATAAAATAGTCAGTGTCGCAATGGCGAGGACCTAAAAGCAAAAATGAAAAATAAAAAAGGAAGCATGATCCGATCTGGACGTCGCATGTCCGCGAAACTTGTCTTCGCTTCTTCCCCGTCTCTTCCAAACCGCTGCAACCCTAACGATGCCACAGCAACCGGCCGCCGCCAACAAACCAACTCCAAAATACCCCATTCAACAACCAACCAGAGCTGCGTGTCAGGTGGGTCAGCCAATTGGAAAGGAAGAATAATTGCGCCTACGGAGGATTGGAGCTACGATATCAACATGCAGGTCCAGCTCCTCCTGCCAACCTTTCGACCCAGTTTTCCAGACAATGGTATGAGGATGTCTATCAGCAGTGCTGGTTCCAATCCCACGATGCAGGGAGGAACAACATCACTGCTCTCTCAAGAACTCAGAATCTGGGCTGTGGACAGTGCATTCACAAGCTAGTTGCCAACGCTGCAGTCTCGTTACGTGTTTGCGAACATGCACTCTCGTGGTAAGGTCCTGTTGCGCTGCTTGCTTGTTGGGACATCAGAGCACGCACAGAAGGAATACAATGGATGCTTTTCAGGCATTTTAACTTCTACAGAGCTGTTTTCTGCTGCAGATACTAGGCAGAGAACGTACTACTCTATGCATCGCATCTTTCCAATTCTGCGAGTCTTCATAGAAGGGAACAATTCCCACTTGGGACAACAGGACATCCTTAAGACTGGAATAAAAAACGGAGGGGATGAATCTGTATGAATGCACTTCCCGCCTACCATCTTTCGGATCAGGGCTTGGATTCCATTTCTCAGAGGATGTCTTTTGCGAACAGGCGGAGTGAGAAGTATCCCAAGAGTCGCCATGCATTTCGTGGTGAACTACCTATCGCCCATCCTTTGACCTCGCTCTTGACTGAAACCTAACGAACTCTACAAGAAATCATGGACAGCATGACCGGGGTATATAAATAACGCGTTCGTTCGCGTCTTGATACATCCGAAGCACGAAGAGTTAACTATGCAATTAATGTTGGCGAAGTTTCGTCAGCTTTTGAGAAAAAATAGTGGCGACCGTCCTTCTGGCGAGAGGCGAGAGACAAGCTGCAAGCCTGCAATGTTTCTCTCCACCTTGACTGAATGGTGTGCACTGCTTAAACATCCAGGTCCGAATCACGCTCCGCTCAGCTTGCGTCTCACTCGATGTTGTAATTTCCAGGCCTGTCGGAACTGGAACCTGGCAACGGTGGAAAATTAGCATACATTACTCAGACAATGTATCAACGTGTTACTGCCTTGGGTACTATGAAATACGAATCGACAACGGGCAACTCAAAGAACAGGAACATTCATCTTCACAACCCGTTCCAACTCCCACAGACAACTTCGCAGCTAGAAGCAAACACACCAGAAAATCATGCCATATTTCCAAACCCAAATTTCTCTCGTGTTTCAATGCGGTTTGCCATCTGCCACGAGGCGATGCGCATCCTACCGCGCTTGCAGAGGCGGGCGGGATTTGAGAAGTGACTAGTCGCCTGCACCTCAGATGAAAAGAGCTCCCTCACAAGCTGAAGTATACTTCTAGATGTCCGGAAAGGCGAGGAATCATCGACTAGAAACGAACCACTGGGTTTGGAACTTTGCGTAACTGCGGATGTAACTCGATTGGTTCCGAGAATATCTCATTTCGCACACAATAGCCGCTTGCTGGCCGTTATTGCGGGAACCAGCAGCACAGCGGTCGAAGATATCTCTGGCCTGGTTTATTTTTCCAAACTCACATTTGGCTAATAGCCATATATACGCACATTACACGATCTCGGAGCTTAGTTCTATAGAATCGAAGGGTTTGACTGTTTCCAAGCAGGAGATACCCCTGTTGTGCTTTTCTCCTCTTCTCATTTGTTTCTGGGCCCCGAGCAACTCCGCGATTAGAGCATTCCCGCACTCCCCCTGGGCCCGTGCACTGTGTGTGACAGCTGGGGATTGTAATATAGCAGACGTCAAACAGCACGGGGTCTACGGCGAAAAAAAAAAACAAAAATAAATAGATACCAAACGAGTCAAATGGTGGCGGCTGGTTGCTAATTAATTTCCAGTAGGTTCCGTGTCTACGAGCTCTCTATCCAGACGAGCTTGGAAGAGAACTCGACACTGTGCTCTGATCCCCTACATTCTTTCATGTTCATATACTTTATACATATATATATATATATACTGACCGTCGAATGTCGCTCTATATCAACCCAAGAACTGAGAAGTGTCGACTGGCGTATGGCAAGTCATGGATGAAAACACAGACGAGTTGATCCGTCCTGAGGATTTCCCCCTTCCCAATAGGTCTCAGGAATCGCTATGCTCGCAAGAATTAATGAGTTGGAATATTACCCCTCCGCTTCCTGCTGTCGTTGACAAAGCTCGGCACCTAACAAACCCGGCGCCTCCGCCGTCGCTTGCGAGTGAGGCGCCCCAGCAAAAGTCAGATGAACTCCAGCAGCCGGTTAAAAATGAGTGGGAGTTCATATTTATTTTTTTCACTCTTGCAATAGTTGCCTTTGTCAGGGCGCTGGATGTGACTAGCCTGCCTGTTGCTCTTCCGGTACGTATAAATAACATTCGTACAGAAAATGGTCCGATCGAGGCATTGAATTATTTCTGATTCGTTCTTCTCTTAGATTATTGCTCGAGAATTTAATGCTACTACCTGCCAGTCATTCTGGGCGGCAATATCATTTCTCCTCACAGCTGTACTCTCTCAACCAATTCACACGGTAGTATCGGCCGTTTTCGGGAGGAGGGAGATTCTATACTTATGCCTCTTATATTCTGCCATTGGCTCAATCATTACTGGTTTTTCAAAAGACATACATGTCCTCATCGCCGGCCGAGCTCTGCAAGGGTTTGGTGGGGGTAGTTTCGAAGCCCTTTCCGAGACTGTTCTCAGAGGCACGAGCACATCAGCAGACCGCTCCCGCTACTTAACTATTCTCAGCTTTATATGGGCAGCTGGGTTCGCGTTAGGTCCGTTGATCGGAGCCATCTTCGCAGAACATGTAGATTGGCGTTGGATAATCTGGATCAATATACCACTCCTGGCAGTCCCCATCCTGCTTGTCCTTATCTGTCGCGTACTGAAACCCATCAAATTCCCTCTCCCGTCACAGCTTGAGCAAGTCGATTGGCTGGGGATAGTCCTCTTTATACCGTCTCTCACCCTCCTCACCGTAGCGATAACCTGGACTGACGCACAAGACCACTTGGGCTCAATAGTTACTATCGCCGTCCTAGCACTGGGAATCCTGTTCCTGGTCGCATTCGTCATCCGAGAAGGCTGTGTCCACACGCCTATATTCCCTTACTGGCTCCTTGCTAGAAAGAGGGAATTTGCAAGTCTATTTGGAGCCTTTGCGTACGGTGCAGTCCTCTATCCTATCAATTTGTTCATCCCGATTTACTTCGAGGCTGCTGTCCAGCTTAATCCAGCCGCCGCGGCTACCAACATGCTACCTCTTTCCATCCTCGTTTCCGCAATGGCATTGGTAACTCCCCTCGGAATCAGGCATCTGTGCCGTTATTCATGTTTCATATGGATCGGGTGGTTTCTCACGACACTAGGCATCGGCATCCTCATCCTGCTCCACAGCGAAACCAATACCGTCAGACGGATGGGGCTCCAAGTCATTGGAGCCGTGGGCCTGGGTATTCTGCTCCCGGCACTGAGTATCCCGTTGGAAGCACGAACGGATGGCGAACGACAAGCCGAAGAAACGATGGGGAATTCTACATTCGCACACCAGCTGGGCGCAGTCGTTGGCGCTGCGCTTAGCACACACATATTTTCAAGGTCGTTTTCGACAGCAGTTGGAAAGCTTTTACCTCTTCCCGAGCCACTTGTCTCGCTGAGTGACGGAAGCGCAGCTGTCCGATTTATCCCTTTGCTAAAACATCTGGATCTTTTGGTCGGTGAAACAAGTGCAATCGTTGATGTGTATGAGCGTGCGATGACGGCTGTGTGGATTGCTATCACTGTTATCAGTGGGTTGGGATTGGTGTCCAGTATCCTCGTCCGTGAGCTTAAAGTGGGAGAGAAGGATACTGGAAAGCAGACGCTGCAAGGGTGATATATTTTGTACCATTGTGGGCTATATATATATATGACCAGCTCCCTTTTTACCACGGGCTTAGGATCCAGAATAGCATACCTTAACTAGTCATCAAGTATAATAAAACGCATAGCCTGCAAAGCTTCGGATTTTATCTCTATGGCCGTCTATGCTCCAATTGTAATTACACGAGATGCTGGTTCCTCCGTGCAAGGAAAAAGTGATGTAAGAATAAACGGGAGTTCATTCACTGGGTCACTAGGAACAGTTTTCGAGGGAAATGACGACACTAGCCCTTCCGTCTATGTATGTAAGTCGCAACAAGAGATTACTCCACATAACTAATCAGTGTGATTCCAATGAGCCAAGCCATACGCGACAAGATCAGTCATAAGTCTCCCTCCTGCAGAGACATCATGGTACAAACTCGAGTCTTTTATACCATTGCAGCCGCCAACTTCTTCACTGCAATCTTTCTCTCCCCCACTACAAACACCCACAATTGTAGGCTGCCCATCAATATATTCCCACATCGGCCCTCCAGACCAACCAGGCGAAGCAAACACTCGAGTCTCCAATTCCTTCCCGAGACGCCCATGGAAATCGACATTAAGAAGCGTGATGTTGGACAAAAGCATTTGCTCATTCCCTTGAAACGCATCAGTAGGGTATCCGGAACTTCTCCATGGTCTACCGATATAGGAATCCCCATCCTTCCACCACTTTGTACCCATCCAACCAGTCAAGTCCCCGAGCGGTTCGCAGAGCTGGCAAACGATGTAATCAATCCCGGTGACATTAAAAGTATTTTTGACCCCGCGACATCGCGATATGTAAGAGCTACCATATGGCTCGACGCCGTTGCCAAAACCTGGTGAAAATCTCATCCATCGATTGCTGCCATATCCCCATGGAAAACAGTGACTGGCGGTGAGTATGAGGTTTCTCCCGACTAAAGACCCCGTACACCACCCTCCATTATCGATATTGGAACGCTGGAAAAAGAGCCGGCCGATGGTGTTCCATGGATAAGTCACGGGTTTTACGACACGGTCGCGATAGTATAGGCCCGTGTTGTTAGGGTTGAGATTCGCAAGCATATACGCATTCTCTGCTGCCCACGGGTCTAGCTGAGGATGATTTTCAACTTGGTGGGTCTCAATCGGATTGTACCCAAACGTGCTCCCAGAATCTGAACCCAGGGTGGTACCTAGCGCGCCATTGCCAGTATTCCAAAACGACGAATAACTCACAACACGATCTAGATCCATTTGTATCAATTCTTCGGCATCTAGGTTCGGCAGAATAATAGATCCCTTGCAGAGCTTCTTGCTGTCCCTGAAAAGCGGTACAGCCGTTATAGAGATAATAAGGATAGTAAAGGGATGATAAAGCGAGTGACTGAAGAGCAATGCATTTTATGCCCATGGGAATGATAAGATCCGATTAGCCATCAATGATTGAAACAGGGACTCTCATATTTCAAGAGTCCCTCGAATCAAGAAGGGGAGCTTTCTCAACAGAAGAGGTGCCTAGAGAATGCGGATCCAACGATTCGATGGACATTGACTCCCCCGATGTGAAATGAGACTATCGTACCTTCTGGACAGCATAAAGACAAAACAGGCAGCGTTGCGGCAGTACAAGTACCATTGAAAGCGGTGCATCTCAATCACGCTTTCCTGGGAGGTTCCCGCAGCACCGGTGCTGGGAGTATTACAGTGCCGTGTGGTGCATGTCTTCCCTCTGAGAGGGACACAGTG